ATGAAATGTAATGGGAGCAATCCTATTATCTGCCTCAGTGCGGGAGGCAACGATGTTGGCAGACATAGGAGTGAAGACCTGATTAGCAGGTATAGGGCAGCAATAGAGATAATTAGGAAGAAGGGTGGGAACCCTGTGATATGTGGCATTTTTTCTAGGAGAGGAGTTGGAAATGAATGGTTGTCCAGGGCAATTGGTGTCAATTGCTGGCTGGACAAACACTGGAAGGAAAATGCAGTAACATTCATAGACAACTGGGATCTCTTCTATGGCAGAAATGACATGTATGCCAGGGATGGGGTTCACTTATTTAGGTTTGGGGTGGGAGCACTGGCCAAACAGTGGAGGGAGCTGTTAGGTCTTTAAACTAGAAATAGATAGTGGTATGGGTTTTCGTGGAAAATCAATGTATTCTGAGTGTAGCGAAAGTGCGAGTTTTAAGGAAACCAGTTATAGGAAGAATGAGGAAGAATTATTGGTGAACATGGGAAAGCCAGTGGCATTGGGTGATAAGGAGAGTAACAGGCATAGTGGAGGAACAGAAATCAGCAGGAAGAAAAAAGAGAAGGGAGGGTTTCTGAAAATATATTATACTAACAGTCGAAGGGCGAGAAATACGATGGACGAATTGAGATTAGTTGCAAGTGCAGGTAACATTGATGTTTTTGCCATAACTGAGACGTGTTTTAATATGAAAAACAGGGATATGCCTGCTGAATGTCACATTCAGGGTTTTAAATTGTTCGAAGTAGACAGAAATATCAGAAAGGGGGGTGGGGTGGCACTCTATGTCCGAGATCGTTTAAATTGTTGCATAAAAACTGGTATAAAGTCAAAAATACATACTGAGTCTGTTTGGGTAGAATATTCAGAGGAGCAGGAAAAATTTATTTTAGGCGTGATATACCGTCCCCCAAACTTGGATAGAGACCAAGGAAGACTACTGTGGGAGGAAATTGTTAAGGCCACAAGGCACGATAACGTAACTGTAGGAGACCTTAACTTTAGTCAGATTGACTGGAATTTTTTGACAGGGAATTTGGAATCTAATGACTTTTTAGAAGTAGTTCAGGATTGTTTTTTGAAGCAGTTTGTGACAGAACCTACAAGGGGTAATAACCTGCTTGACTTGGTTCTGGAAAACAAGGAATCACTTGTTAATAATTTAGAAATTTCAGAGGAACTTGGCACAAGTGACCACAAATCAATTACATTTAGCATTGAATGGAAGTATGATAGTTGGGATAACTCAGTAACAGTCCCAGATTTTCGCTTTGCAGATTACAATGGGCTTAGAGAACACTTATCATCTGTTGACTGGGGTAACGAAGAGAGCTATCAATATGAGAGTTTTCTAAACACTATACATGCTGCCCAAAGAACATTTATCCCGAAATTAGATCGGATAGAAATGACCCAAAATGGATGAATAATAGGCTCAAATATCTTTTAGGACAGAAAAAAAGGAATTTATAGGCGCATCAAAAGAGGTGAGGGTCATCTTATGAATCAGTATATTGACATTAAGAGGGACATTAAAAAGGGGATAAGAAAAGCTAAACGGGACTATGAAATTAAAGTTGCCAGAGATTCAAAAACTAACCCGAAAAGTTTTTTCCAGGTTTATAGAACAAAAGTTAGAGATAAGATAGGTCCCCTTAAAAATAACTCTGGGCATCTTACTGACAAGGAGAATGAAATGTGCTCTATTCTTAATAATTATTTTCTCTCAGTTTTCACTCAGGAGGACACTAACAATATCCCAGTAATAAATTTTTATAGTGGGCCTGAAGACGACAAATTATGCAATATCACAGTCACTAGCGAAATGGTTATCAAACAGATAGACCGACTGAAGCAAAATAAATCCCCGGGCCCTGATGAACTTTTTTCCAGGATTCTTAAAGAGTGTAAAATGGAACTTTGTGAACCATTGACTAATATTTTTAATATGTCTCTTCAAACAGGCGTAGTGTCTGATATGTGGAGGATGGCTAATGTAATTCCTATTTTTAAAGCAGGGGACAAGTCGTTACCGTCAAATTACGGCCCAATAAGCCTGACCTCAATTGTAGGCAAATTACTAGAGTCAATTATAGCTGATAATATAAGAAGCCATCTCGATAAGCACAGCTTGATTAATGATACTCAGCATGGATTCACGAGGGACCGTTCCTGCCTAACTAATTTATTTACCTTCTTCAGTAAAGCTTTTGAGGCCGTTGATCATGGTAAAGAATTCGATATTGTTTATTTAGATTTTAGTAAGGCTTTTGATAGAGTACCACACCAGAGACTGTTAAAGAAAGTGGCAGCTCATGGCATTGGAGGAAAAGTACTGTCATGGATCGAGTCATGGCTCACTAATAGGAAGCAGAGGATGCTTAAATGGGGTTAAATCCGAGTGGGCATCTCATCTGTAACAAGTGGCGTACCACAGGGATCAGATTTAATCCCGTTGTTGTTTATAATATATATCAATGACCTTGATGAGGGTATTCTTATGTTCTTATGGATAAAACATCTTATTGGTTTTCCAAACATTTTATAAATATTGCAAGTTCATATAGTCAATTGGTTAAGATAAGGTTTTGTTCGGATTTTTAACCCCGGAGGGTTAGCCACCCAGAATAACCCATGAAAGTCCGTCCACCATCGAGGGACTGTCTGTCTTGATGAATGGTTTGAAAAACCGACAAGTTGAAGATTGAGACACTTATACAGCATATGGGAATCTTTTTCAAACCATTCATCACAACTGCCAGACACTGCAGCATCATGGGATCTTGTTACAAAGAATTCTTCAACACTTGTTCAACCTTTGGACGAAGACCTACTTCGACTAGTGGATGGTACCACTATGACCCCGCCTCCACCTGCTTCACCTCACCTCACTACAGTATATAAGCCACGTCTACGGCCCTATGCTGTACATTCTACAAGATTGATGGACTGAACACATCGACTCCAGGCTGAGGGACTGATTACCTCATACTCCTCCTCTCCTTACGCCTTCCTCTTTGTATTGGACTGATGAAGCCACTGTGTGGCGAAACGTTTCCTGAATAAAGATTCCCATATGCTGTATGGGCCCGGTGGGGCCCGGTGGCCTGGTGGCTAAAGCTCCCGCTTCACACACGGAGGGCCCGGGTTCGATTCCCGGCGGGTGGAAACATGCGACACGTTTCCTTACACCTGTTGTCCTGTTCACCTAGCAGCAAATAGGTACCTGGGTGTTAGTCGACTGGTGTGGGTCGCATCCTGGGGGACAAGATTAAGGACCCCAATGGAAATAAGTTAGACAGTCCTCGATGACGCACTGACTTTCTTGGGTTATCCTGGGTGGCTAACCCTCCGGGGTTAAAAATCCGAACGAAATCTTATCTTATCTTATCTTGTATAAGTGTCTCAATCTTCAACTGTCTGTCTTATTTCTATTGTAGTCCTACAATCTGGCCCCTAAGATGAGACCCACTAACACCCAGGTACCTATTTGCTTTCTAGGTGAACGGGGACAGTAGGTGTAAGGAAACACACCTAGTGTTTCCACCCGGCCGGGGATTGAACCATGGACACTCGGTGTGTGAGGCGAGAGGGTTACCTACCAGGCCACGGGACTCTCATGGATTATTATGACGGTATATTGTGTGACGTAGGCCTCGTGTTAGTAACCTAATAAAGATTAGTAAAAGTATAGGCTACTTCTTAATATTGTGTATTTATCTGTACACTTAACTGAAATAAAAAGTATTGTTATAATTCTTCTCTTTTTTTCTTCTTCTTCTTCTTCTTCTTCTTCTTCTTCTTCTTCTTCTTCTTCTTCTTCTTCTTCTTCTTCTTCTTCTTCTTCTTCTTCTTCTTCTTCTTCTTATTATTATTATTATTATTATTATTATTATTATTATTATTATTATTCGTAGTAGTAGTAGTAGTAATAGTAGTAGCCACAGTATTAGTAGTAATAATAGAAGCAACAGTATTATTATTAGTAGTTGTGGTGCCCCGTGGCCTGGTGGCTAAAGCTCTTACTACACGCGGTGAGGGATCCGGGTTCGATTCCCGGCGAAGGGGTTGAAACACTGAGCGTGTTTCCTTACACCGGTTGTCTATGTTCACCAATCAGTGTTAGCGGACTGGTGTGGGTAGCATCTTGGGACAAAAGTGACCTAATTTTCCCGAAATGCTCTGCAGTCTTTAAGCTGGCACTGGACAAGCACCTAAAGTCGGTTCCTGACCAGCCGGGCTGTGGCTCGTACGTTGGTTTGCGTGCAGCCAGCAGCAACAGCCTGGTTGATCAGGCTCTGATCCACCAGGAGGCCTGGTCACAGACCGGGCCGCGGGGGCGTTGACCCCCGGAACTCTCTCCAGGCAAACTCCAGGTAATAACATGAGGCTTTCTATTTAGTAGTATGTCATTGATGTCAACTAGGTCTGTGTACCTTATACATGTACTTGTAGAAATAAATTTATTATTATTATTATAGGTTAGGTTAGGTAAGGTTTGTCAGGAAACAGGACAAGTGTTTCCTGACGCGGGTCTTAGATGATAACCTGCAGCTGGAGCTTTTGGTCAACTGACCGAGGCCTTCCTCTGGCATTCACTTCCACCCCTTTAAAAATTATGGTCATAGTTATAACCATTTCCTTCTTTTTATTATTATAGTTCTGGGATATTGTGTATACCTGAGTGTGACTTTGTCAATGGTCCAAGTCGGACCGAAACGTCGTCGTAAGCTTCTCTCTTTTATGTGCGGGTTATTTGTGTATCGTTCCAGTCACGGTATTGTGCCTTTTTGTTATTTATTTGTGTATACCTATGCATAGTATAAGTGGCTTTGGCATGCTGCTCTTATCTGTATTTTTTTGTACCTCTATATGTATGCTCAAATTGTAAATAAATAAATAAATAAAATAAATACCTGAATATTAGCTACAAAATCCGGATTCGTGCTCCGCAACAAGAACGCCTCGCCACAAATCCGGATTCTCCGCCTGGATTGAGCCAAGATCAACATGGCCCTCAATGTTTACACTCACTGGACATCATGATACCTTGGGCCACTATTTCTGCGTGTCGCTATCTCACCTGGAGTGTTAATTACCAGAGGAGAGCACTGCACGTTTTGCCCAGGCTGTGTTCTCAGCCTACAACAACAGGTAGGAGGTTGTGTTCGCCTCCTATATTGGCTTAATCTTTATTTCGCGGTTGGGTCTTTTTTAGCCCTTGTGACTTTAGCCCCTCAAGGAAGGTTCCTTGATGTTGGTGAGGGGCTCTTGATTTAGGGAATTGGATCTGTGCTCCAGTTCCCCGAATTAAGCCTGAATGCCTTCCACATCCTTCCCCCCCCACAGGCGCTGTATAATCCTCCGGGTTTAGCGCTTCCCCCTTGATTATAATAATAATAATAATTGTGACTTTAGCGCTTAGTTTTGATTATACTACTGATAATAGCAGCCCGGTTATGTTAAATGTGATTTTTATCCCCTGAGGGTGATTTTATTAGGTTCATTTAAATAATCATTGTTTTAGCAGTAAGATCTCAAGGACCACAATGGAAACATCAAGGACCACAATGGAAACATCAAGGACCACAATGGAAACATCAAGGACCACAATGGAAACATCAAGGACCACAATGGAACCAGGTCAAGGACCACATTGGAAACAAATCAAGGACCACAATGGAAACAAGTGAAGGACCACAATAATAATAATAAGGTAGTAGGTTGGTAGACAGCAACCACCCAGGGAGGTACTACCATCCTGCCAAGGAAGTTTGAAGCAAAAACCTGTAATTGTTTCATATGATGGCAGGATTGCTGGTTTCTTTTTCTGTCTCATAAACACGTCGGATAATAAGTATATCTTGCTACTTCTGCTTACACTTAGGTCACATATACATGCATATAAATGCATATATATACATACCCACTTGGGTTTTCTTCTATTTTCTTAATAGTTCTTGTGTTTTTTTATTTCTTCTTATCTCCATGAGGAAGTGGAAAAGAATTCTTCCTCCGTAAGCCATGTGTGTTGTAAGAGGTGACTAAAATGCCGGGAGCGGGGGGCTGGTAACCCCTTCTCTTGTATAAATTACTAAATGTAAGTTTCAGAACCTACTTAGAAAATTGGACTCTTGCTTTATAATGTGAGAAATCATGAAAGTGCTTAGAAATCCACTATTTTTTCACTTTGGTTATTTTGCATATTGTAATAATATCACCTGTGTATTGTGATCTTTTTTTTTTTTTTTGCAACAAGTCGGCCGTCTCCCACTGAGGCAGGGTAACCCAAAAAGAAAGAAAATCCCCAAAAAGAAAATACTTTCATCATCATTCAACACTTTCACCTCACTCACACATAATCACTGTTTTTGCAGAGGTGCTCAGAACACAACAGTTTAGAAGCATATACATATGAAGATACACAACATATCCCTCCAAACTGCTAATTGTGATCATATTGCATGTTAAAAAAGGTGCACGGGTTTGGAATGCCTGTGATTAGTAGGTAAAATATAAACTTAAATGTTTGAATTCTAGGCTCATTCGTACCTCTTGATCATCTTGTGAATCGCCGACGTGATGAAGCTCAGAGATCACTGCTGGTGGAGGTGGCAGGGATAGAGTCTGCAGTAGACTTACATCAAGTGTGCTCTCAGTATGGCACTGTCCATAAAATGTTTCATTATGTGCTTCAATGTGGACATAACAACAAGGTAAGCAAGGTTTTCTAATGGCAGTAGGTAGTAGGTTGGTAGACAGCAACCACCCAGGGAAGTACTACCGTCCTGCCAGATGACTGTGAAACAAAAACCTGTAACTGTTTTGCATGATGGTAGGATTGCTGGTTTTCTTTTTCTGTCTCATAAACACGCTAGATAACAGGGATATCTTGCTACTCCTACTTACACTTTGGTCACACTTCACAGACACGCACATGCATATATATATATACATACATCTAGGTTTTCTCCTATTCTAAATAGCTCTTGTTCTTTTTTATTTCTTCTATTGTCCATGGGAAGTGGAAAAGAATCTTTCCTCCGTAAGCCATGCGTGTCGTATGAGGCGACTAAAATGCCGGGAGCAATGGGCTAGTAACCCCTTCTCCTGTATACATTTACTAAAAAAGAGAAGAAGAAAAACTTTATAAAACTGGTTGTTTAAATGTGCGTGGATGTAGTGCGGAATGACAAGAAACAGATGATTGCGATGTTATGAATGAAAAGAATTTGGGATGTCCTGGCTCTAAGCGAAACAATGCTGAAGGGGTAGGAGAGTTTCAGTGGGGGAAATAAATGGGATTAAATCTGGAGTATCTGAGAGAGTTAGAGCAAAGGAAGGGGTAGCAGTAATGTTAAATGATCAGTTATTAAGGAGAAAAGAGAATATGAATGTGTAAATTCGAGAATTATGTGGATTAAAGTAAAGGTTGGATGCGAGAAGTGGGTCATAATAAGCGTGTATGCACCTGGAGAAGAGAGGAATGCAGAGGAGAGAGAGAGATTTTGGGAGATGTTAAGTGAATGTAAAGGAGCCTTTGAACCAAGTGAGAGAGTAATTGTGGTAGGGGACCTGAATGCTAAAGTAGGAGAAACTTTTAGAGAGGGTGTGGTAGGTAAGTTTGGGGTGCCAGGTGTAAATGATAATGGGAGCCCTTTGATTGAACTTTGTATAGAAAGGGGTTTAGTTATAGGTAATACATATTTTAAGAAAAAGAGGATAAATAAGTATACACGATATGATGTAGGGCGAAATGACAGTAGTTTGTTGGATTATGTATTAGTAGATAAAAGACTGTTGAGTAGACTTCAGGATGTACATGTTTATAGAGGGGCCACAGATATATCAGATCACTTTCTAGTTGTAGCTACACTGAGAGTAAAAGGTAGATGGGATACAAGGAGAATAGAAGCATCAGGGAAGAGAGAGGTGAAGGTTTATAAACTAAAAGAGGAGGCAGTTAGGGTAAGATATAAACAGCTATTGGAGGATAGATGGGCTAATGAGAGCATAGGCAATGGGGTCGAAGAGGAATGGGGTAGGTTTAAAAATGTAGTGTTAGAGTGTTCAGCAGAAGTTTGTGGTTACAGGAAAGTGGGTGCAGGAGGGAAGAGGAGCGATTGGTGGAATGATGATGTAAAGAGAGTAGTAAGGGAGAAAAAGTTAGCATATGAGAAGTTTTTACAAAGTAGAAGTGATGCAAGGAGGGAAGAGTATATGGAGAAAAAGAGAGAGGTTAAGAGAGTGGTGAAGCAATGTAAAAAGAGAGCAAATGAGAGAGTGGGTGAGCTGTTATCAACAAATTTTGTTGAAAATAAGAAAAAGTTTTGGAGTGAGATTAACAAGTTAAGGAAGCCTAGAGAACAAATGGATTTGTCAGTTAAAAATAGGAGAGGAGAGTTATTAAATGGAGAGTTAGAGGTATTGGGAAGATGGAGGGAATATTTTGAGGAATTGTTAAATGTTGATGAAGATAGGGAAGCTGTGATTTCGTGTATAGGGCAAGGAGGAATAACATCTTGTAGGAGTGAGGAAGAGCCAGTTGTGAGTGTGGGGGAAGTTCGTGAGGCAGTAGGTAAAATGAAAGGGGGTAAGGCAGCCGGGATTGATGGGATAAAGATAGAAATGTTAAAAGCAGGTGGGGATATAGTTTTGGAGTGGTTGGTGCAATTATTTAATAAATGTATGGAAGAGGGTAAGGTACCTAGGGATTGGCAGAGAGCATGCATAGTTCCTTTGTATAAAGGCAAAGGGGATAAAAGAGAGTGCAAAAATTATAGGGGGATAAGTCTGTTGAGTGTACCTGGTAAAGTGTATGGTAGAGTTATAATTGAAAGAATTAAGAGTAAGACGGAGAATAGGATAGCAGATGAACAAGGAGGCTTTAGGAAAGGTAGGGGGTGTGTGGACCAGGTGTTTACAGTGAAACATATAAGTGAACAGTATTTAGATAAGGCTAAAGAGGTCTTTGTGGCATTTATGGATTTGGAAAAGGCGTATGACAGGGTGGATAGGGGGGCAATGTGGCAGATGTTGCAAGTGTATGGTGTAGGAGGTAGGTTACTGAAAGCAGTGAGGAGTTTTTACGAGGATAGTGAGGCTCAAGTTAGAGTATGTAGAAAAGAGGGAAATTTTTCCCAGTAAAAGTAGGCCTTAGACAAGGATGTGTGATGTCACCGTGGTTGTTTAATATATTTATAGATGGGGTTGTAAGAGAAGTAAATGCGAGGGTCTTGGCAAGAGGCGTGGAGTTAAAAGATAAAGAATCACACACAGGGTGGGAGTTGTCACAGCTGCTCTTTGCTGATGACACTGTGCTCTTGGGAGATTCTGAAGAGAAGCTGCAGAGATTGGTGGATGAAATTTGGTAGGGTGTGCAAAAGAAGAAAATTAAAGGTGAATACAGGAAAGAGTAAGGTTATGAGGATAACAAAAAGATTAGGTGATGAAAGATTGAATATCAGATTGGAGGGAGAGAGTATGGAGGAGGTGAACGTATTCAGATATTTGGGAGTGGACGTGTCAGCGGATGGGTCTATGAAAGATGAGGTGAATCATAGAATTGATGAGGGAAAAAGAGTGAGTGGTGCACTTAGGAGTCTGTGGAGACAGAGAACTTTGTCCTTGGAGGCAAAGAGGGGAATGTATGAGAGTATAGTTTTACCAACGCTCTTATATGGGTGTGAAGCATGGGTGATGAATGTTGCAGCGAGGAGAAGGCTGGAGGCAGTGGAGATGTCATGTCTGAGGGAAATGTGTGGTGTGAATATAATGCAGAGAATTCGTAGTTTGGAAGTTAGGAGGAGGTGCGGGATTACCAAAAACTGTTGTCCAGAGGGCTGAGGAAGGGTTGTTGAGGTGGTTCGGACATGTAGAGAGAATGGAGCGAAACAGAATAACTTCAAGAGTGTATCAGTCTGTAGTGGAAGGAAGGCGGGGTAGGGGTCGGCCTAGGAAGGGTTGGAGGGAGGGGGTTATTAAGGAGGTTTTGTGGTGCGAGGGGCTTGGACTTCCAGCAGGCATGCGTGAGCGTGTTTGATAGGAGTGAATGGAGACAAATGGTTTTTAATACTTGACGTGCTGTTGGAGTGTGAGCAAAGTAACATTTATGAAGGGATTCAGGGAAACCGGCAGGCCGGACTTGAGTCCTGGAGATGGGAAGTACAGTGCCTGCACTCTGAAGGAGGGGTGTTAATGTTGCAGTTTAAAAACTGTAGTGTAGAGCACCCTTCTGGCAAGACAGTGATGGAGTGAATGATGGTGAAAGTTTTTCTTTTTCGGGCCACCCTGCCTTGGTGGGAATCGGCCAGTGTGATAATAAAAAAATAAATAAATGTACAGGTATTTTAGGAAATTAAATTTTAAAATAATATAATGACTTTGAGTATTTTGGTAATTGTTTTTTTGTGTGTAAATTATTTTGTATCAATGTTTTAAAAAGGTCTAATTTGTCTTACACACCATAGGTAATAGGAGTTTCTTTGTATCTCACTGTAGGAAACTTCAGAAATATAATTTTTTTTTTACATTGTATGTACGTATATTATGGTAGCCTTATTTTGCTTATAATATTACTAATGTACGTACTTGTAAATATATGAATATTCAAAGAATTCACTATACATTATATCCTGTTTTTCAAGGGTAAACATTTAAGCTTTGTATGGTCATGCTGCCTCAGTGGGAGATTGCTGGTAAATTAAAAGAAAAAATAATCTAATATTCTTACAGACTTCAAAAGTTACCTGTCTTATTGAGCAAATTTAATAATCTGAAACTCTTACAGACTTCAAAATTTACTTGTCTTATTGAGCTACAGACATAAATAAAGGAAATGAAGGTTAATCATGAATAAAAAATATGTATATGCCAAATATTCTTATTAAAATTAAAAATTATCTTTCAAGGAGATGATTCTTGTGGAGTTCAAAGAATTGTCATCACTTAAACAAGCTCTTCACTTTACTTGTTTAAATTCTGCGAAAGATGTACTCCCTACCCACTCGCCTTTTGTATGCCTATCAGCTGGTGAGTCATCTGGTGGAGCCATCAGTGCGCAGACTTTTAAAAATATAACAGATCTTGTAACTTCCAATACGACATACTCCAGAGAAGAACTTAAGCAGCATATATCTGAATGTTCTGATGTAAGAAGCTTTTGTTGTTGTTTCCTGTATATTATAAAAATTTATTTCTGTTAGCTTTTGTGACTTGAAATACTGTTTTTAATATTGTTATAAATTTTTGAGAAATTACCATGTACGTATGAGGCACTGTGAACAAAAGTGACAAATTGACGAAATGTCACTTTTGAGAAAATTGTCTATAAACTTTTGCAGTATGTTTTCAGCAATATCTAAGTAACAGCCATACAGTTTTGATCAAACTAGTTTCTCAGGTTTGAGGGTTGCTTCCTGAGCATCTGTCAGTTTTCCCACCATGGTTACAGGTTACTGTGAAAGTGGCTTCATCACTCCAAAGAACCTCACTCCATTTTTGTTTGGTTCATGTCTGGCATTTTTTTTGCAAATCAGACTCAAAGCTTATTTTGCATCTGGCTCAAAACTGGTTTCAGGATGGGTTGATTGCTGCTGTAACTAAGCTTTTTCACTCACCTATTAACAGTTCTGTTAGATATGATATGAAGCAGCTCCTGATTCACAGGGAGACAGACACATACGCATCCACCATACAAGCCCAGAAGGCATTGAGCATGCAGCGAGTAGCCAGGCAGAATCTTGAGACATCACAATTATATGAGCCATAGGGTATGCTCTGGTGTTTAAAAAGTCTGTGATAATAATTAGGAAGTAAGTTTTTACCCCCATATCAGCATGCTGTGGGTCTTCACTGTCTAGCCTGGTAACAACCATGACACTGTGTTCTTAATGGGCTATTTAGCACTTTGGACTGTTGCTTGGGAGGCCATCAGTTTGGAGACAAAAAATTATTTGCCATGTTCCTTAATGTTTCATTTTTCTTAAATTTGAATGTCATAAATCAGAATATTGTTAAGAGGGGAACATGTACCTGTATTTATTAAAACCTGAATTCTTCTAGACTTTCTGAAATATGATTCTTATTTTCAGATTTCAGAACAAATTCAGAAGCTGTATGATAGCCAGAAATTAACAGAACTGGACTGGAGACTAAGATTTTTTACATGTAGACAGGTAAGTCTTAAATTAAAGTTGTAGTGTATGAAGAAATTAGCTTATCAAATTTAGTTCATATTCAGTAATTTTAAGGAATTTATAGTAGATGATGCTTATGTATAATTCTTAAAATAAGAATAAACATTCAGTATGTTGTAAGTCTGGTTGGGAAAATAGTGAATCTGTCAGTCATGTGATTAGCAGATGGAAGATAGAGCCTCCATCCATTATTGTTCTGATGACACCAGATACATTTAGCATTTCGTGTGACAGTAATGTGTGATGTCACCATGGACAGTGTCCAACGTTGGTTCGAATCCTACCTCAATCACCAGCATGTGCAAGTTACTCAGATCAATTCTATTCTGCCCTTTCATTATTTCTACTCAGTTTCATTATCTCTTGAGAAACAGTTTACTTTTGATGCCATTTTTAGATAAATTCACAATATTTATCTTGCAAAAATCATTTATATTTCTCATCTTTTTCACTTGTATAAGAGATATGACAGTATTTCAGACTGATCCAAAAACCACTTTTCCATAGATAGAAGTTGCCTTGTCTGGGTTATTTCCAAGAGCCACAGTTCTTCCGTTTGGTTCCTCTATCAACTCATTTGGAAACATTAACTGTGACTTGGATATGATTCTTGAGCTCTCTGGCTTCAGTGCTCAGGTAAAGAATGTACTCATGCCATATTGATTAAATTATTTATTTCATGGTTATTACATAGGTTCAGTGTTTATTCAGGCTGCTGTCAGTAATATGTGTAGATTCTTTTTTCTGATTTTTGTAAGTCTTACACTTAGAAGGTCTACATGAAAGGCTTTCTACTTATTTATAATGTACAGTATTATCATTTTATTAATAATGTACCATTTCTCATACCACTGTATGCATTACTGTATGTACATTGTCTTTGCATCTTTAGGAAAATTCTCATCGACTAATCTTCCAAGCAAAGAAATCATTAGCGTCTGCAAATTCTCGGGTGGCATTGCAACGACGCATGGAACTCATTTCAGGCATCTTGGACAGCTTTGTACCAGGATGTTCTCAGGTATGTTGGTCACATTTCTTTACTAAAACTATTATGCTTCCCTCAAAGCAGGTGAATTGGCTCATGAAGAATTTCTCTAGGACCATGGATGCTACAACATCATGTAAAGAGAGAGGGAAAAATATATTTTGTGGTTAGCAATTTTTTCAAAAGTAATGTAAGTGTGTTGTATAGGGATTGAACAGGGCAATAATAAACTCTAGGAATAGCTGGAAATGGCACATTATAAAAGAATGGTAAAGGAATATATGATTGGGGAGAAATATAAACAGTTGTTGGAAGAAAGGTGGAATACTCTGAGGAAAAATAATGGCAAGGATGTTGAGGTGTACTGTGGATTTAAGTATTGGTGTGCAGCAACTTCATCCAGAACAGTGGTTTTTACAATTTACAATTTTACATAGTTTTTACAATTTATCTTAAATCTTTGCAAGAAAATGTCTTAGAAAGTTTAAGAATCAGTGTGACCTGATGCATGCGACACTTGATCTTCACTTCACTGCTCTTCCTGCTTACACATCCTTACCAGGTTTGTCAGTTTGTCACTCGACAAGGCCCACTGCATGGGTGAAATGTTATCAATAAAGGTTCCATTAAAGTGTATTTGTGTCCACTGAGGATAAGATATATTAAAATACCTGATGAGAGTTAAGCAGCAACAAGTGTGATTGTGAGTATCAACTTGGCACTGCTTGAGATGACAACTGAGGCTGAAAGCAGATGAGTTGCTGTAGGTTCGCCGATCTTGTCGCAGCCAGGGTCTTTTCCAAATGGTGACCCGGCAAAGCAGATAAGGATAAAGTGTTGGAATGGCTAATGGTTTGTTCAAAGTTTGCATAGTAGAAAGGAAGTTGTTCAAGGATTGACAGATGTAGTATGCAGGAGATTTATGATTGATAGAATGACTGGAAAGGGAGAAGTTATGAGAGAAGGACGGAGTGGATTGGAAAAAAAAGAATGTGTGGATAAAGTGTCTGTATTAAAGCACATTAATGAGCAATGCTTACATAAAGAAGAAGAGCATTTTGTTTTATTTATAGTATTGTGAATGGGTAAAGGCATGATAAATTTGGGAGTGATATGGTAAATGCTACATGTGTATAAAAGAGGTGGTAAGTAGATAAACCTGTAAGAAAATTTGAACAGAGGTAAGAGATGTAGAGGAAAGTGTGTATGCCAGAGGTGTGACTCTTAACACATAATAAGATTTATTTCAGTATTTTTGCCGGATGAAATATTGTATGTAAGTAGGGTTTTGTAGGCTTTCAGTAGGTACTTTTGCTTTGAAATTTGTTTTTTGTTTAGTTGAAGAATAAATTACAGACAAGATAATATTGTGTTACCTGCTTAAGATAGACATTGAACTAGAATTATTTTTATCATCTTGAGTGATTGTCAGAGCACTATGTAACTTTTTTACATGTGTATTCTTTCCACAGGTGCGGAAAATTCTTAATGCTCGGGTTCCCATCATAAAATATCACCAAGACCTGACTGATATAGAGTGTGATCTTTCAATGTCAAATAGGTTAGTAAATCTGTTATTAATTTTGTCTGTCATCATCAGCACTCTCCTGTTTTCCACTCTCATTTGGCAGAGACAGTTTGTATGAGTTTTTTTTTGGAGACAATGCTTCATGTTTTGTATGACGGCATTTCTAGAATTTAAGTCATCTCTCTTAATTATAGTAAATTTATTTATTTCAATTATTTATTTTTAGATCTGGGTTCTACATGAGTCATATGCTATATATGTATGGAAGCATGGACCCAAGAGTGCGTCCACTGGTGTTTGCTGTGCGTCGGTGGGCTAGAGATCGACACATAACTTCACCGTTCTCAGGCCGTTGGATCACAAATTTTTCAGTTACAATAATGGTCCTCTTCTACCTAATGAATGTGTCACCTCCAGTAATTCCATCACTTCAGTTACTCAAGGTTAATTCAGGTAATAATCTTTCAGATATCTTAGCTCTTTGAGTGGGTTATTCAGTTAAAGGCAGATTCAGTTTGTGCATCCTTGAAGTGTATATTTACCTCCACAATAATTTATTAATGTTTGCATTCACTAGGAAGTCTGTTTTCTCTAATCTTTAGAAATTGTTATTGATAAGAATAACTTACTAGATTGAGCCAACTAAAGTTGAGTAACCCGTTCATGGTCAAAAGAATTTTCTTTTGTTGATTATGAGAAGAAACATAAATATATAGCTGATATCAGTACTCTGTCACAGTGGTGTTGAATACAACACTTTTTCTTTTGTGAGTGGCTATGTATTAAGGGCTGTCTGTCTTGACACAAATTGTGTACTGCTGACAACAGTGAAGAAAAGAAGCTTCCAGAACAAGCCTGTTCTGTGATGTGTTGTTTCTTTATAACTGCCCATTTGTTTATTTGCTTTATGTTGTTTCTCTTGGTATCAAGTGTATGATTGGAGTTGAACATTAAAATGGTATAAAATACCGACAGGTTGTTAGGTAAGACACATATGCAACAGTTAGGTATCTTTATTTCGAAACGTTTCGCCTACACAGTAGGCTTCTTCAGTCGAGTACAGAAAAGTTGATAGAAGCAGAAGATACTTGAAGACGATGTAATCAGTCCATCACCCTTAAAGTTTTGAGGTGGTCAGTCCCTCAGTCTGGAGAAGGCATTGTTCCATAGTATGAAACAATATTGTTTCATACTATGGAACAATGCTCTTCTCCAGACTGAGGGACTGACCACCTCAAAACTTTAAGGGTGATGGACTGATTACATCGTCTTCAAGTATCTTCTGCTTCTATCAACTTTTCTGTACTCGACTGAAGAAGCCTACTGTGTAGGCAAAACGTTTTGAAATAAAGATACCTAACTGTTGCATATGATTGGAGTTGTTTCTCTTGGGCTGATTCATAGCTTCTAGATAGTTTTGGTGAGGTTGAACAGATCAGTTGGTGTGTGTGCTGAAAATTTGATACTGTCTGGCAACAGTAACCACTTTTTTTCAGGTGACTCAGTGCTATTGTATTAGTTTTAGATAATTTCGCTCAGCATACTTAATTTTTTTTTTTTTAACAAACTGGCCATATCCCACCAAGGCAGGGTGGCCCAAAAAGAAAAACAAAAGTTTCTCTTTTTAAATTTAGTAATTTATACAGGAGAAGGGGTTACTAACCCTTTGTTTCTGGCATTTTAGTCGCCTCTTACAACATGCATGGCTTACGGAGGAAGAATTCTGTTCCACTTCCCCATGGAGATAAGAGGAAATAAACAAGAACAAGAACTAGTAAGAAAATAGAAGAAAACCCAGAGGGGTGTGTGTATATATATATGCTAGAGTATATGATAGAGTAGATGGGGGAGCAATGTGGCAGATGTTGCAAGTATATGGAATAGGTGGTAAGTTACTATGAGGATAGTTAGGCTCAGGTTAGGGTATGTAGAAGAGAGGGAGACTATTTTTTTTTTTTTTTTTTTTTATTATCACACCGGCCGATTCCCACCAAGGCAGGGTGGCCCGAAAAAGAAAAACTTTCACCATCATTCACTCCATCACTGTCTTGCCAGAAGGGTGCTTTACACTACAGTTTTTAAACTGCAACATTAACACCCCTCCTTCAGAGTGCAGGCACTGTACTTCCCATCTCCAGGACTCAAGTCCGGCCTGCCGGTTTCCTGAATCCCTTCTAAATGTTACTTTGCTCACACTCCAACAGCACGTCAAGTATTAAAAACCATTTGTCTCCATTCACTCCTATCAAAACACGCTCACGCATGCCTGCTGGAAGTCCAAGCCCTCGCACACAAAACCTCCTTTACCCCTCCCTCCAACCCTTCCTAGGCCGACCCCTACCCCGCCTTCCTTCCACTACAGACTGATACACTCTTGAAGTCATTCTGTTTCGCTCCATTCTCTCTACATGTCCGAACCACCTCAACAACCCTTCCTCAGCCCTCTGGACAACAGTTTTGGTAATCCCGCACCTCCTCCTAACTTCCAAACTACGAATTCTCTGCATTATATTCACACCACACATTGCCCTCAGACATGACATCTCCACTGCCTCCAGCCTTCTCCTCGCTGCAACATTCATCACCCACGCTTCACACCCATATAAGAGCGTTGGTAAAACTATACTCTCATACATTCCCCTCTTTGCCTCCAAGGACAAAGTTCTTTGTCTCCACAGACTCCTAAGTGCACCACTCACTCTTTTTCCCTCATCAATTCTATGATTCACCTCATCTTTCATAGACCCATCCGCTGACACGTCCACTCCCAAATATCTGAATACGTTCACCTCCTCCATACTCTCTCCCTCCAATCTGATATTCAATCTTTCATCACCTAATCTTTTTGTTATCCTCATAACCTTACTCTTTCCTGTATTCACCTTTAATTTTCTTCTTTTGCACACCCTACCAAATTCATCCACCAATCTCTGCAACTTCTCTTCAGAATCTCCCAAGAGCACAGTGTCATCGGCAAAGAGCAGCTGTGACAACTCCCACTTGTGTGTGTGATTCTTTATCTTTTAACTCCACGCCTCTTGCCAAGACCCTCGCATTTACTTCTCTTACAACCCCATCTATAAATATATTAAACAACCACGGTGACATCACACATCCTTGTCTAAGGCCTACTTTTACTGGGAAAAAATTTCCCTCTTTCCTACATACTCTAACTTGAGCCTCACTATCCTCGTAAAAACTCTTCACTGCTTTCAGTAACCTACCTCCTACACCATACACTTGCAACATCTGCCACATTGCCCCCCTATCCACCCTGTCATACGCCTTTTCCAAATCCATAAATGCCACAAAGACCTCTTTAGCCTTATCTAAATACTGTTCACTTATATGTTTCACTGTAAACACCTGGTCCACACACCCCTACCTTTCCTAAAGCCTCCTTGTTCATCTGCTATCCTATTCTCCGTCTTACTCTTAATTCTTTCAATTATAACTCTACCATTACACTTTACCAGGTACACTCAACAGACTTATCCCCCTATAATTTTTGCACTCTCTTTTATCCCTTTGCCTTTATACAAAGGAACTATGCATGCTCTCTGCCAATCCCTAGGTACCTTACCCTCTTCCATACATTTATTAAATAATTGCACCAACCACTCCAAAACTATATCCCCACCTGCTTTTAACATTTCTATCTTTATCCCATCAATCCCGGCTGCCTTACCCCCTTTCATTTTACCTACTGCCTCACGAACTTCCCCCACACTCACAACTGGCTCTTCCTCACTCCTACAAGATGTTATTCCTCCTTGCCCTATACACGAAATCACAGCTTCCCTATCTTCATCAACATTTAACAATTCCTCAAAATATTCCTTCCATCTTCCCAATACCTCTACCTCTCCATTTAATAACTCTCCTCTCCTATTTTTAACTGACAAATCCATTTGTTCTCTAGGCTTTCTTAACTTGTTAAGAAAGCCTAGAGAAAGTAGAGAGAAAGTAGTGAGATTAACTTGTTAATCTCACTACTTCCCGGTAAAAGTAGGTCTTAGACAGGGATGTGTAATGTCACCATGGTTTATTATATTTATAGATGGTGTTGTAAAAGAAGTAAATGCTAGGGTGTTCAGGAGAGGGGTGGCATTAAATTATGGGGAATCAAATGCAAAATGGGAATTGACACAGTTGCTTTTTGCTGATGATACTGTGCTTATGGGAGATTCTAAAGAAAAATTGCTAAGGTTAGTGGATGAGTTTGGGAGTGTGTAAAGGTAGAAAGTTGAAAGTGAACATAGAAAAGAGTAAGGTGATGAGGGTATCAAATGATTTAGATAAAGTAAAATTGGATATCAAATTGGGGAGGAGGAGTATGGAAGAAGTGAATGTTTTCAGATACTTTGGAGTTGACGTGTCGGCGGATGGATTTATGTAGGATAAGGTTAATCATAGAATTTATAAGGGAAAAAAGGTGAGTGGTGCGTTGAGGTATATATATGTGGAGACAAAAAATGTTATCTATGGAGGCAAAGAAAGGAATGTATGAAAGTATAGTAGTACCAACACTCTTATATGGGTGTGAAGCTTGGGTTGTGAATGCAGCAGCGAGGAGAAAGTTGGAGGCAGTGGAGATGTCCTGTCTAAGGGCAATGTGTGGTGTAAATATTATGCAGAAAATTCGGAGTGTGGAAATTAGGAGAAGGTGTGGAGTTAATAAAGGTATTAGTCAGAGGGCTGAAGAGGGGTTGTTGATGTGGTTTGGTCATTTAGAGAGAATGGATCAAAGTAGAATGACATGGAGAGCATTTAAATCTGTAGGGGAAGGAAGGTGGGCTAGGGCTCATCCTCAGCAGGGTAATATTTAGTGAAGGGATTCAGGGAAACCAGTTATTTTTATATAGCCGGACTTGAGTCCTGGAAATGGGAAGTACAATGCCTGCACTCTAAAGGAGGGGTTTCGGGATATTAGCAGTTTGGAGGGATATGTTGTGTATCTTTATACGTATATGCTTCTAAACTGTTGTGTTCTGAGCGCCTCTGCAAAAACAGTGATTATGTGTGAGTGAGGTGAAAGTGTTGAATGATGATGAAAGTATTTTCTTTTTGGGGATTTTCTTTCTTTTTGGGTCACACTGCCTCGGTGGGAGACGGCCGACTTGTTGAAAAAAAAAAACTTGTATGTGTAGTGTGACCTAAATGTAAGTAGAAGTAGCAAGACGTACCTGAAACCCTGCATGTTTATGAGACAAAAAATGAACACCAGCAATCCTACCATCATGTAAAACAATTAAAGGCTTTCGTTTTACACTCACTTGGCAGGACGGTAGTACCTCCCTGGGCGGTTGCTGTCTACCAACCTACTACCTATAAGCATACTTAATATCCCTTGCAAATTTATTTCCTGGACTGAGATGTAGTCATGTCATGTGGTATGCTATTAGATTATAGAAAATTTGAAGAATATGAAAATCTTTGACCCAGGCTTCCAAAGTGAGAGATCGAAAGTGATGAAAAATGAGCTAAGTATTTTTAAGACTTAGTTTTTAATACCAAATATTTTAATTAAATTTTCAGTATTGTATGAAGAAAGTTGCTTTCTTATTGCAGGCCCAGATGATGATGATGAAAGTTGTGTCAGATTTAATTTTCCAACAAATCTTGGAAAGGTTGTGACATCACAAAACAGAGAGTCTTTGGAAACACTCTTAAAAGGATTTTTTGAATTTTACGATAATTTCAACTTCAGGGAGCTAGGTCTTTCTGTTCTGCATGGAAGAAGTTTTATTAAGCCAGTGCACAGTGCTTTATACATTCAAGTAAGTTGACGTCTTAATTTAGTAGAATTTATAGTGTTTTCTATGATAAACTACATCTTGGGAAATAAAAGTTTGCAGTTCATTACCTTAACTTAGATTAATACTAGTACAGTGTGCAGTACTCTAGTTGTGGCACACTGAAACATCCATAAAATAGTTTAATGGAGGAAGGGATACCCAGTTTAAATGCACGCCATTATACTTATCAATGGAGTACCGGACATGGACATACACCCAAATCAGTGGACTTAATCAGTTGCATTGATTGACTGCCTGGCAGAGAATAAACTACAGTAATTTTTCTTACATTTCCTGGCAGACAGATGAGTTTACAGTCAGATCACTGTGTTATCTAGTAGTGACTCAGAATAAAAGTTATTAATTCGAGTCAAGTACTTTTCTTGGCATCATCACTTGCTTCAGAGGCCATTGTTAATAACACTGTACATGGTGCTCTAATAAAGTAATGATAAACTTGGTAAACCCACAGAAAATTGAAGATTGAATGATGCTAGTAGGTGAGCATGTGTGCAGACAATAACAAACTGATACAGGCTGAATCACTGGGCCCACTACCCAGGAACAGTGAATATAAACAGGTCATGGATGAAGGCTAGATCAAACAAACATGCAATAAAGAGGACTTGGTCCACTTTATTGATGGCATGACCAGACAGGACACCATGTGATGCAGCTGACTTGGTCCATTGCAGTGATAATTTTAGGATACATAGTAGGTCATCAGAACCTGTATCCAGAATACAATGTTTTGGAGAATGAATCATTGTTTTTTTGATAGGGTTTGAAGGACTACTTTGCTAGAGAGTCAATAAACTGAATCATGCACTTGTTGAATGGCCTTGTGCCTTAGTATTTCACCTTCATAATATTTGGTGCATTTGTATTATTTTTGGCATTATTATTATTATAACCTTTCTGCTGCAGTCTTGTAACAAGCCATTATTTACTGTAATATCTCCAGGACTATATTTTACATCCTCAGAATCCACTAGAAGGTGAACTCAATGTTAGCCGAAATGTTACTCTTGAAGAAGTAGAAAAGTTGCGTGCTGAACTTACTCATGCAAGGTTTCTTCTGGAAAGCAGTGCTCATAACATTGTAAGTTCAATGACTGGTGTTTTGTAGATCATGTAAAAATATATACAGTATTTTTTTGCAAACACTTTTCCTAAATTACTTAATAATGATAATAATAATAATAATAATAATAATAATAATAATAATAATCTTTTAATCAATATTAACCCTTTGAGGGTCTGTCCCGTAGTTCTATGCCTTTGAAGCTAGGGTCCAAGCCGTAGTTCTACGCCATGAGCTCAGCTCACTCAGATAAACTGTGAGTGGTAAATTTGGGCCTAGATATGAGAAAATACATCTATGTGGTAAGTGTGCACCACAAAACAAATCCTGTAGCACGCAGTGCATAATGAGAAAAAACTGCGGTCGTATTTTTGGATTAAAACAGCAACTTTGCAGTGTTTTCTCTTATGTTTTCTACAGCTGTATTCACAGTTTCTTGGTCCCAATTGATAGAATGTAAGATATATTACAGAAATAGAGATGATTTTGATTGTTTTTAGTACTGAAAATGGCTTGAAACCAAGTTCAAATTAGTGGAAATGTTCGATTTTTGCCGATGTTCAAGAGTAAACAAATGATGTCACACATCCAATAGACATCAGCCGGTGGGTCTAATGTGCGTTCATGAATGCACTGATATTATTTATACAATTATTACAATATTGCATAACAGTAAATCTACTATTTTTTGGTGTGAATAAAAATTCATTATCTTCTTTCTTCTTTCAACAAACCGGCCGTATCCCACCAAGGCAGGGTGGCCCAAAAAGAAAAACAAAAGTTTCTCTTTTTAAATTTAGTAATTTATACAGGAGAAGGGGTTACTAGCCCCTTGCTCCTGGCATTTTAGTCGCCTCTTACAACACGCATAGCTTACAGAGGAAGAATTCTGTTCCACTTCCCCATGGAGATAAGAGGAAATAAACAAGAATTAGTAAGAAAATAGAAGAAAACCCAGAGGGCTGTGTATATATATGCTTGTACATGTATGTGTAGTGTGACCTAAGTGTAAGTATAAGTAGCAAGACGTACCTGAAACCTTGCATGTTTATGAGACAAAAAAATGGACACCAGCAATCCTACCATCATGTAAAACAATTATAGGCTTTCGTTTTACACTCACTTGGCAGGACGGTAGGACCTCCCTGGGCGGTTGCTGTCTTCCAACCTACTACCTAGGAAAAATTCATTATGTGAATAAAAAATCAAAATGTAACTAATAATCAGTGCCAAGAATGCCTGCAGTGTTTATTCTGTACCCTATTTTGAAATTTGAATATTTTGAACTTTGTGTGAAATTGGCCAAATTAACAATTTCCAATCACTATTTGGTAGTTGAAACAGTTGACTTGGTGATTTCTTGTGCTCAGTCAATAAAATAGAAGTAATGCTAGTGAAATAGCTAAGAACTTGGTTGACTGGAATAATGTAATTGGCCTAAAATGAGAGTCAAAGTAGGCAAAATTGCTGATGCATAAATACCGCTGACGCAGCAAAATTCGTGAGAGTGTAATTTCGTCAGTTTTCCATCAAATTTCATATTTTTTATTTTATTACCTTCAGAAAAAGATTCTCTACCATTTCATAAGAAAAAAATAACAAAAATTGTTTTGAAAATTCTTGGACCCTGTGAACAGGTTTCAGATTGAGGGTCTGGACCCCAGATCTGAAACTTGTCGTATTTGAGCTCTTCTGCAAAGACAGGGATTATGTATGAATGATGGTGAAAGTGTTGAATGATGATGAAAGTTTTTTTTCTTTCTTTTTGGGTCACCCGGCCTTGGTGGGAAATGGCCGGTGTTAAAAAAAAGAAAAAATTGTCTTGTATTCTCAGTTGAGAAATAGGTTCTAACCTCAATACCCCATTTATACTTTTCACATTCACATTATCATGGCTTAATCATAATATTTCTTGTTAACAGGATGATGCTGCCAGTAATGAAGTATGGGGTGCACTCTCTTTGTGGCCTGAGACTGCCACCTCATCTGGACCATCTCATATAATTCAAGGTTCCTCAAATTATCCAATAGACTGGAAAGAAGTATTCCATACTGAAAACAAAAAATTAATACAATCCACTAATACAAAAAAATCATCATTGAAAGGCAACAGTGCAGGAAATCAACAAAAAGAAAATAATAATGGGAATACAGTTTTTCTTAAAGCAGGCAGTGTGTCAAACAAAGGAATGGGAGCCAGAGGTACTACCAAACTGGATAATCTTGTGTCTAAATTGAAACAGAAAACCACACAGAGAGAACACATTCCTCATAGAAACAAGTTTATGTATAAGGGTAAATATAAGTGATTTAAAAGTATACTGTGTACATTTTAAGTTATAATTATACCGGCCTCATGCATATTGGGTCTGTTGTGATCATCCTTGTATGGCATCTCCCACTGAGGTAGGGTGGCCCAAAGAAGAAACACTTTCTCCATCATTTACACTGTCAGTGTCTTGCCAAAGGCAAAAATTATTACTTTGATAAGAACTGATTAATTATTTTTGTGAAAATTTGTCATACATTAAGGGAATTAATTCAAATTTCTTGTTTATGATAGAGCAACAGTTAATAGAGTGAACTGTTTTGACGAGTCTTTCAGTGTCCTTGCCTTGTGTCAGGCATTGTTCTTCAGAAATATGTGGCTGGTAAGATTAGTTTTTCTCATGATTATTTATGAAGTTTTGTGTCATTGGATGTTACTGTAAATAAAATGTATAGTGTACAGAGTAAATTTATCAATAAGTATGTGCAGTATTATGTTATTTATTTGTTCTTCATACTGTATTTGAATTTATTACCCAGATTTAGTATACTATAGGTAGTAGGTTGGTAGACAGCAACCGCCCAGGGAGGTACTACCGTCCTGCCAAGTGAGTGTAAAACGAAAGCCTGTAATTGTTTTACATGATGGTAGGATTGCTGGTGTCCTTTTTTCTGTCTCATGAACATGCAAGATTTCAGGTACGTCTTGCTACTTCTACTTACACTTAGGTCACACTACACATACATGTACAAGCACATATATACACACCCCTCTGGGTTTTCTTCTATTTTCTTTCTAGTTCTTATTCTTGTTTATTTCCTCTTATCTCCATGGGGAAGTGGAACAGAATTCTTCCTCCGTAAGCCATGCGTGTTGTAAGAGGCGACTAAAATGCCGGGAGCAAGGGGCTAGTAACCTCTTCTCCTGTATATATTACTAAATGTAAAAGGAGAAACTTTTGTTTTTCCTTTTGGGCCACCCCACCTCAGTGGGATACGGCCGGTGTGTTGAAAGAAAGAAGATTTAGTATACTGTATAGGACAGCATTATTCATGGAAGTACTGAACCACTGTAAAGTTTATTCAATACTAAAACTATCCTCTTTTTTTTTTTAATACATCAGCTGTTTCCCACCTGGACCAAGTTGTCTTAAGATAGCTTTGTTATATTCATAGGAAAACACTAAACCCATATGGGTCATACAGTGACAGGAAGTAATTGGGTTTAATCCAAGGAAAAGAAGATACAGTACAGGTACAACATCGATTTTCCAGACACTGATGATCCGGAACCACAGGAATTTACAAGCAGGAACTTGAAATTCCCATGGCAGTGTATTTACCACCAAATTGTACGTCACTTATTCACCCCCAAGATCAAGGAATACTGAGCTCTCTAAAGGTGGAAACATCAGTAATCCAGAAAGGCTTTGGAACCAAAGGTCTAGAAAATCAATGTTGTACTTGTACCTGGAAAATAAGAGGTAATCAGGCTTGATCCAATAAAAGGGAGGATAACTCCAGTTCCTTGGATTAAGGTACCCTTAGCCTTTTGTCATTCTGTTAATACAAGGTACAGTAAATTATGATTCTGCCTTACCTTTTGTAACCTGTAACCCTGGGAGGACTGGGCTATGGGGGACATTGACCCCTGGAACAACCTCCAGGTAAATAGACCAGACCAGAACATAGACCACTCTTCTGGGCACTTACACAAAAGTTCAGTGGTAGATCTCATCCATTAATAATGTAATTATAGGAGAGATGAAGAACAAAAAAGGCACAATACCATGACTGGAACAATGCACAAAAATAACACATGTATATAGGAGAGAGGAGCTTGCGAGGACGTTGGACCAAGTCAGACTGAAACATCATCATAAGCTCCTCTCTCCTATGTGCAGGTTATTTTTCTGTATAGGAGAGATTTTTTTTCTATTGCAAAACGAGGAAGAGCAGTCTCAACCTGTCTTATACTCCTTACAGGAAATTCCTTGATGCTGGTGAGGGGCTCTTGATTGAAGAAATTGGACTTGTCCTCCACTTTCATCTATCATATCCACTTGCCTCCTGTTTCCCAGGTGCTGTATGACCCCTGTGGGTTTAGTACTTCCTAAATATTATCATCATCAACCTATCTTATGTTTACAAAAGAAAGCTATCCATCTCATTGCATCCCATCCATTGTTGAGTAATTACATGTAACTGAAGTTCCTGTTAGTCCTACAAGGGGGTGTACACCTGTGATATTCCAGTGACAGATTTCAAGAGTTTTCCTACTACAGCCTGGCCATTGCTGTGGTTCCTTGGATGATAGTGGGTTCTTGGTCCAAGGTCCAGTTTCCTATAGAGGTATTCTGTTCAGGGATTATTTTAGTGATCTCTGCCCGTCTTCGTGGCTGTTGGCAACAATGGTGGTCAGACATGCACCATAACAAATTGCACTCTATTAAATCGCTTTTAGGTTTGTGGCCATCTTCTTACCACCGTTGCCATACTCGGGAGATTGCGCTCTCCTGTCTCCTCATCGGCCATACTCACCTTACCCACGGGTATCTCATGGAACGACACCCTATTCCTCTCTGTGAGGTTTGTCGGGTCCCTATTTTGGTTCTTCACTTTCTTGTGGATTTCCCAGTTTACCAGCGAGCTCACAGGATTTACCTCCAATGCTGCCACAGCCTACTGCTCTTACCTTACCTTCCCTTCTTGCAGACAGCCCTGCCTTTGACTTCCAATCACTTTTTGACTTTTTGTCAGCAGCTGCTTTACTATATGAACTTTGACACAGCCCTTAGTGTCCCTTCCAGCCCTTTTCTCCCCTCACCTCTGATCCCCTCTTCATCTAGCTGTTTATAGCCCTGGCACTATTTTCTGCCCCACAGTGCTGCATGACCCTTGTCGGTTTAGTGCTTTCTTTGATTATAATAATAATAATTGGTCCAAGCAATTACAGCTGTTTTTTGTTCATAGAGTCAAACCTAGTTTGTCCTGACTCCCATCATCTCCCATTCTATGGTAGTGCCTCTTGTATTTTGTCCCACCCTCTTTCCTCTGGCATTTTGGCCAGTGTGAGACTCTTTGGCCTGAGCTGCCAGTAATTCTGGATTGTGTATTGTGAACACCTTGTGGAACCACCTGACCATTGTAGGTTTAGCACTTCTTTTTGATTATAATAATAATAATGTGGAACCACTTCCATTTTTTAAATTATGTATTTTTTGCAAGTTTTAGATTTCAACCTGAAGTGAATTTAAGAATCTGTACTGTAATTGAGCTTTGTGGGACCACCCCATTCTTTTAAACTAATTTTGGCAGATTTGTAACCTAGTTTAGAAATCCCTCAAGGGAGGTTCCTTGATGTTGGTGAGGGGCTCTTGTTCTAAGGAATTGGACCAGTGCTCCAATGCCTTGGGTCAAACCTGAATACCTACCATTCTTCCAGCCACTGTATGACTCCTATGGGTTTAACACTCCCTCTAGGAATGTAATAATAATAATAGTTTGGAAACTGTTTAAAATATCTTGTAAATTGTACTTTGTGGACTTTGCATCATTCTTACTCCCAGAAGCTGCATCATTGACCTTTGTCATTTTAACTTTATTATAAAGCTGTTGCTTGTCTGCCTTATTATATAATGTTGCTTTATTGTACACACCTGCTTTATTATTGTATCCATTTTTATTTACATGACTAAACCATTTCTACTCCTTTCAAAGGAGCACTGTGATGCTGAAATGCTGTTGATCCAAGTAACTAGAGCTACCTCCCATTCCTCATCCTTCATCAGTGCTGTATGACCCTGGTGGGTTTAGCACTTGGTTTTGATTATAATAATAATAATCCTCATCCTTCAGTAAAGGTGACTTGATGCTGGAGAAGAGCTCTTGATCCAAGTAATTGGAGTGTCCCTCTGGGTTGAATATAACCACTATCACCCAAGGTGCTGCTGTTTGACCTTTACAGGGTTATCACTCCCTGAAATAAATAAAAGCACTCCATTCTGAGGTGCTGAATGACCCCTATGAGTTTAGCTCTTCTTCGTGCATATAATCATAATCACTCGTTTTGTATTTTGAATTACTGTATACCTTGTGCCCCATCAACTATTTTGCTCATGCCTTATAGTCTTTATTATTATTATCAAAACCAAGAGCTAAACCCACTAGGGGTTATTATAGTCTTCATGATATTCATGAAAACACTGATCTTAAGACATTACTGCTGTCTTCTTTAACCCTTTTGCAACCTTCAATGATCAGGTTTTAGAGCCATTGACAAACTTACATTCATAAACTATCTCACTCTGTGATCAGTTTTGAAAATTTTCTCTTCACAGTCCAGACTGGAGCCAGGTTTTTCTGTTGATTTTCTGTTTGACTAGATTTAGTATTTAGTTATGATAATAATAATAATAATAATCTGTTCAACCAAGCTGTTGCTGTTGGTGCCCTGCTGGACCACACATTCATCACAGCCTGATTGATTTAGCACTATGCAGAGGTAGTGATCCAGTTTCCACTTTGAAAACTTCCAAGCTTGTTTCAACATTTCTGTTATTAGCTGGTATTAAGTTGAATAGTTATTATTATTATTTTATAATAAAAAAGAAGCGCTAAATCGTTGAATAGTTATGGATCGTAGATGTTGACAGTGTCGTCATATATGCCTGTGTCATCTCTGATTTTCACTGGGAGTGGGCCCCTCAATGAGGTTCCTTGATGCTGGTGAGGGGCTCTTGATCTAGGGAATTTGATCAGTGCTCCAGTTCCCAGAATTGAGCCTGAATACCTTCATCCCCCACTACAGGCGCTGTATAATCCTACAGGTTTAGCCCTCCCCCGTGGTTAAAATAATGATAATAATATGGGAGTAGGAGTGTGTAAGTTTGGGACAGGGCCCTCAAGTATCTTCCAGGAATGTAATAAAGTTGGTAGAATTACCGACTACGTAAAGTAAAGGGACACAAGTGCAACTAATGTGACATTTTTATTGTGGCAAAGCTCCTGGAGAGTGCAACGTTGCCACAGTAAAAATGTCACATTAGTTGCACTTGTGTCCCTTTACTTTACATATCTTCCAGGAATGTATTATCAAGTAGTATCTAGTCTCTCTCTGCTTCAGACGAATTTCCAGTACCTTGGGGCATTCCCAAATAGTGTAAATGCTTTATTGGCTATATTCAAGTAGTAAGTGATTTCTGTATCTGTTCTAACTGTTATCTTTCCTGACCTGAATAGTCATTGACACTGAAAAAGTACTCTAAGAGAGCACAAGTGATTTGAATAGTGTCACCACTGGCATTATTTCTCTTATTTTAGCAGCACTGTATGACCCTGGTGGGTTTAGTGCTTAGTTTTGATAATAATTTTTTTTGTCTTAAAAGTTGTCATTTTTCATCCCATCACATTCTCGACTTTTGCAGTGCTTGCCTTATTAATCTCTCAGAGATAGATAGGAAAGGTAACATTATTATACTGAAGTATTTCAAATGTTCCACATGTTCTATAAAGTGGCAGTCCTGTTATGTATACAGTGTCCCTTTCAAGTTCTTCATTCTTCTCATATCTGAGCAGTTAGAATTTTCAGTATCTTACACAATTGCCAAAATTCCATGTGTTTCTCCCAAGTCCTCAAGTAAAGTTCCTCGAGGGCAGTGAGGGCTCAGTTCAAGGTAATGGATCTATCCTCTTCCTTGGATCAAACCAAAATGCCTCCCATTCCTCCCCGAGGTGCTGTATGAAGTACAGGTTTAGTGCAGCAAATCTCTGAGCTGACCACAAACCCAAATTTTATTTATAACGCTAATTGCTAGACATAAATACATAAATATACTTGTAAAATTTATATTATCATTCCAGGGGAAGCACTAAACCATAAATTTATCCAGGATTCTGCAAGGAAATAACCAAACCATAAGTTTATCCAGGATTCTGTGAGGAAACAGTCATAAACCCTGATTTTATCAAGGATATTATGAGGAAACAATCATAAACCATAACTTTATCAGTGATACTGTGAGGAAACAATCATAATGGCAAGTAAATAAATAATTGATTTATTTATTTAATTTCTTGTAATCTTAATGTAATAACCTACATAATATACATCACTTCCTAGCATGTAGCACCACACCTCCAATTCAACTAAACCAAGCATATAAAAGCAGGCTATATGCACACCATGGCTAGTAACAAAAATGTCCCCATTTGTATTGTATTCAAGTACCCATATTATTTTCAAAATACAGATAACATAACTATAGAGGCTGAGTTTTTTATTATTTTTTTTTACTTTTTGAGGTGAAACATCTAGGTGACACTTTAGGAAACACTAAAATGTACTGCATATTATTACATTGTACAAACATTTGTCAACTCTTTCCTGTAATTCAAAATCAAAGAGAACAGTTTGACACTATTTCATTTGCAAAACTGCTGTGTATGATCTATACAGAATACAACTACATATATGATTTAATATGTCGGTATAAATACGTACGGTAAACCCATAATATAACTGATTAATAGGGGGCAATAAAATGCACTAAAGTACTGTAGTGTGTATCCATTATAGCACTGTACACAATTAACAGATATACGGCAATAAACACTTAAAGGAGTTAAAAGTACAATTTACATAAAGGATTTAGCCCATTATTTTAAGTTCACTATATTGAGGGTTTACTGTAATAAAATCCAGAGTACTGTATATGTATAATTAGTGATTATTATTTTGTATGTCTTACCCAAAATTCAGTGCAATTTAAAATTTAACCTAATTTATACTATCTAAAATCAAATGAAAACATCCAGCAGAAGGCACAGCTATGATGCCATGAACTGCCTTCAGTTGACGCTGTGTAAATCAACATTGTACTGCAGTCATTAGTTTTAATGTGAAAACTTCCTGAGCAAAATCTTTTCCTACCAGAGTTAAAAGTAGTGAATTAGAAATATCTTCGGTCCTTAACATGATGTGAATCATGACGGCTTTGAGGGGACTAGAGCTAGAGTTCGTCACAGCCATGCTGGTGGGAGATTCATCTGTAAAAACTTGCATTTGTGGTCACAATGGGGCCTGTATTAACCTCTTTATTGTGTATAAATATACCTAGTTGGATAAATCTCATTGTAGCCAGCTGGCCCAGTGGCTTGCGTGCTGGCCTGGAGTTTTACAACTCGCTTGCCATGAATTCAATCCCCGTCTGTGGTATGGTTTATCTCCAGTCCTTATTTACTATTACAGTGATATCTGTCTTATTTGCAATTCTCACAGATTCTGAACAATTTCAAATTAAGAATTATCTTTGAAATCTGTTATTTGCCAGTGAAATTCTTTTCATTTTAAAAATGGCATGATGCTCAAAATGTTGAATTTTCCCATTACGACCCAAAAATTTCAATTTCAATAGCATTTTGGAAAATGTCTGAACATTTCTATAAGAGATTTTGCCTACCACAGTCTTGATTCATGAGTCAAGAAAAATGCCATATATTGCAGGTATAATTTTGGTAATTTTAAATGTACTGTGCAGCAAATCGGACACCTACACACAAATAACCCGCACATAGTAGAGAGGAGCTTATGACAATATTTCGGTCCAACTTGGACTATTTACAAAGTCACACTAACAAAGGAGAGGAGGAGGAGGAGGCCATATATACAGGCCAGCAGACAGGGACGGGACAAGAGAGGTATTAGGAAAAGAAGTAGAGAGGTGGTGGTAGTAGTAGTAGTAGTAGTTCTGTTAGACTCTGTAAATGGTCCAAGTCAGACCAAAATGTCATTTTAAGCTCCTCTCTCCTGTGTGAGGGTTATTTGTGAATTGTTCCAGTCACGGTATTGTGTCTTTTTGTTTTTTTCAGACACCGTCTACTGAATACAGTAGAAGGTGTCTGATTTGTATAATTTAAATTCTGTAATTTGGACTTCCAACATTTTTTTTCTAACTGATGTACTATACAGTACTAAATGTACTGTACAGTAGAAAACCTTAGGTTATTCAATCATAGCTTATGTTTTCATTATTATGCAATTTAAATTTAGGTTTTCATTTTCAACAGAAGCACAGCATATCTATTAAGGCACACCAGGGTGGAATTCATTTCCATTGGTGGCATGTATTTCCATTAATGACAGCTGTGGCAGGCAGGCAGGAGACTCGCCACTATGCATTGGGTTATTCCATTGTTTTAGCAGTCTGGAGGGGGGGGGGGGGAGAACTGTTAATGAATGTAAACCAACAGCCTCCCACGTGGGTCGGAGTATCTGGATACATAGCGTGTGATTTTTCGCATATACACAATTTTTTCCTTCTTTTCACCGCCCCGTCTTGTCTCTGGATAGTTATCATGGAATCCAAATAAAGTGTAGGTGATACTATGAAGCAAGGAAGAAAATTAGTTGTAAAACTATGACTATTTCAAAATAATTAAAGGTAATGTATATGTCAAAGGGTAGGGCACATGTCATGGAGATGGCTCGAGTGTTGGATGTTAGAGAATCAGCAATTCATTCAACATGAGGCAATGAGATGAAGATGAAGACTTGTGCAATGAGTAATCCTGAATGTGACAGTGAAAACAATGAAACACATCATTACAGCTCAGTTAAACTTTGTGTGGATTCAGAAACAAAGAAAGAGGTTCTACCTGATAGCTTTATTATTAGGTGCTCCTTGACTTATGGAGTTATGGTCCAATGAACCCATTGTAAGTTGAAAATATGTCGAGTATGAATATATGATAAATAAATAACTACTGACACTGAATAAGTAAATAAGCAAATAATTACTCTAGATGTCATGGAGCATTATGTAAAATAAGGAGAAGGGTATGTTTTTTTGACAGTATTCTTTCACCTGGGAAAAAAACAGTTCAAAAACCAGTCTTCAAACAATGCTACATCAACCAGGCTTTCTTGTTATGGAGATAATAAACAGGAAGCTTATACTTGCTCACATTCTTGAATGCTTTTGTGTTTTTGGAGTGGTTGATGACTACTGAATATGCATTGTTATTGCACCATTGTAAAGTCAAAATATCATAAGTCGAACCATTGTAAAACGAGGAGCATTTGTACCATAAAACAATGTGTAAGAAGTAAGGACATCTCAAAAATGAATGCATGTTTACTTCTGGATGGTTTAACCAGCTCAGAATGTGCAGTGGGCTGTATAAGGAACTGCAGGGTAAAACAAAGTCAGTGGTACATGACAGAATGCCTGAGCACTCCATTGCAAGAATCAACTAACAAAGCTGCATCAATATTTCACTTCAGAATGTTAAGCATCACCAACCCAACATAAACCAAGTAACAAAAAACTGAACAGTATTAATGTAATCATTTTATAGCAACATGTATTCTAAAGTAGGAGAAACTTTTAGAGAGGGTGTGGTACGTAAGTTTGGGGTGCCAGGTGTAAATGATAATGGGAGCCCTTTGATTGAACTTTGTATAGAAAGGGGTTTAGTTATAGGTAATACATATTTTAAGAAAAAGAGGATAAATAAGTATACAAGATATGATGTAGGGCGAAATGACAGTAGTTTGTTGGATTATGTATTGGTAGATAAAAGACTGTTGAGTAGACTTCAGGATGTACATGTTTATAGAGGGGCCACAGATATATCAGATCACTTTCTAGTTGTAGCTACACTGAGAGTAAAAGGTAGATGGGATACAAGGAGAATAGAAGCATCAGGGAAGAGAGGTGAAGGTTTATAAACTAAAAGAGGAGGCAGTTAGGGTAAGATATAAACAGCTATTGGAGGATAGATGGGCTAATGAGAGCATAGGCAATGGGGTCGAAGAGGTATGGGGTAGGTTTAAAAATGTAGTGTTAGAGTGTTCAGCAGAAGTTTGTGGTTACAGGAAAGTGGGTGCGGGAGGGAAGAGGAGCGATTGGTGGAATGATGATGTAAAGAGAGTAGTAAGGGAGAAAAAGTTAGCATATGAGA